GAAACTGAAGAAGTCGAGAAGGTAATTGGAATGTAGATGGATTGGAAAAGACACAGTTCAAGAACGCTTTTGCGAAGATGCTCATATGGAACTGGCAAACACCTTCATCCTGAAGATGGAAAAGACAACAAGAGTAGAGGGACACCTGATAAGTGAAATTTTCTCAAAAGGCTTGTTGCCTTCTCGCTTTTGGTAGACGTTGTTACATAATCAGACTTTCTGACCATGTCGTAATTCATATACAGGGTTGGGGGAAAGTCTTTGAACACGGTATTTTTAACGTATTGATGAAGCTAGGCAAGATGATTACATGATATCAATAGGTAATGTTTACTTAGCTGTCTGCTACACAAAACTGGCTTTATAATTCGAAGACTCCTCCTCTGACGCGAGCACAAGCTCGGAAACGCTTGAGAACGCTGTCCATGGTGGCACGGAGGTGCTTCACGTCGATTTCTTCCAAAGCCTTCTGAAGAGCAAGTCGCAGAGACTCAACAGTCATGCGTGGGTGAACGCAGGCTTTGGCCTAAAGAACTGACCACACGCTGTAGTCGGAGGTATTCAGATCCGGCCAATACGGAGGCCATTCCGCAGGAGTTATGAACACCTTGATGTTGCTTTGGAGCCATGCTTGAACAAACTTCGCTTTGTGCGCAGGTGCGCTGTCCTGCTGGGAACACCAATCGCTACTGGCAAAATGAATCGGTCCAGGACAGCAATCCCTTCTTCAGGATGCTATCCACGTGCGTAGCGGTGTCCACCTTGATGTCCTGGGACACCGAAATCGCCAGCATCTTGTTGTCGAAAGCGATCGCCGCGCAAACCATTACAGAAACCGGATGAAGCTTTCTTCCTGCGATTCAACCCTTGCTATTGACTTCTGGGGGCGATTAGGTGATGATCGTGGTGTTTGGCGATCAAAAACTTTCCTCATGGTGAAAATTTTGACGTCAGAAAAGAGTATCGTTCGGTGGCTTGTCTTGGAGAGACGTTCAAGCATTCGATGGCATCTGCGTAGTCAATTCAGCTTCATGTCCTCCCAAAAAGCATGGAATTTTAGCATCCTGAAAAGCTTCATCGCAAGGCCCTCTTTTTCGATGTCGGAGACTGTCCTGCCAGAGCTGGACAGCTCTGAGGCCAGCTCAATCAGGCTTCGCTGAGGACTGCGACGAAGGCGTTGGCAAACGATTTTCAGAATTTCGTAACCGTTGCAGTAGCCAACTTACCACTCATACAACAGTCCTGAGTGCTGTTCATATCCTGGAAACGACGCAAGGTGGAAAAGACGCTGATCTGTGAAATTTGGGGGTCCCGCGCAATCTGCTGGTCAGCCATCCTCTCCTCGTGCATCTTATCCACCAACGCTCGCAGCATTCCAGAAGGTATATCTCCGACAAGAAAAAAGCTAATAGTCCAGTTTTTTGAGGGCTTGTACTAAGAGTATAAGAAGCAAACACATATAATTAGCATGCAAGAAATATGTAGAATCCGAACATACAATGACATCAAAAACTGTTCAAAGACTTTCCCCCATCACTGTAATTGATCAAGATGCACAGTCGGTCCTTCGATTTTGCAACTTTGTGCGACGCCACCACCAGTAGAATACGTGATTTCATCAAGAATATCTGTATTGCAATGGGAGAGGAGACAGCCACGAAATCTTGGTTCCGTGGCCAGCTTATGGACGCGAAGATCACGAAAGTGTAGCATTGAGTATCGGCGGACATGAAATTTCTCTCTTATTACAGTCAGCACTTAAGCTTACTTTTTACCGTAAAAATTCAAAAGCACGCTTACCAGGTCGACCAAAAGGTGAGGCGCACAACTACCGCATGCGACACCCTTCCTAAGTTCTATCTCAATGTCTTCCCCTCCCCATACCCCCTGCGTTATCTTCGCTTTTCGCAGGCACGACAGTAAGGACCCCTCTGATCCAAGAGTAGCGAATTTTGAGGGTTCTCAATATTCGGCCACCCAAGTGTCAAACATGGTTAACCATATTTTCAAAGTCAACTAGCTACCTTTTTTGCACTCAACACAAAGCACTACTCCCTATTTACCCAAGCCATGTATCTTGCTTCAAATGGCATCAAACATGGAACTCGGAGCCAGTCAAAATCCCATTTTCCCATCTTTCGCTTGCGGTGGTTGTCCTTTCAACAACTATCGCATTGAAGAAGAATTCAGCTCTAATCACTTCTAGAAAAACTAGATGATTTTGTTTATCGAACCGTCTGTATTTTATTTGCTAAAATCTGCTTTAGAGGTAGTTAATGGGGTGTGGCATAACCTCAGGAAAGCTATGGCCGCCAAATCTTTTTGTGTGTTGTGCCACACCCCACTGCCTTAACTTCAGCATTCGAATATCTGTGTTTTTTGTATCGTTGCTACCGCTAAACCTTCTTGTATATACAGCATTAATTTCATTCAATTTCGTTCCTCCTAGGGAAGGGTATAGTCGTTTTCCTTACCTATGCAAATGGAAATGACTGCAAAAATATTGGGTTACGCTAAGATAATCTGCGCTACTATTTAAATCGCGGGGTTAAGTGACAAGAATGACTATATTCGATAGCTTAAACATTGTAATTCTTAGGAAAGTGATTTGAACCTGATTGGTCTTCTCTACTCCGAAATATTGAAAGCGAAAATGGGACAAATGAAATTTTGGCTTGCTCTTAACTCCATTTTTGGAGATTATTTGAATAGGATTCCTAATGTGTGTAAAGAACTAGTAATTTTTTGTAAGTGCAAAAAGAAGTAGCCAACTCATCTTTGAAACAAAGTTAACATGCCGGTATATTTCTAAGCTCGAAACAGGATAGTGTAAAAAACACACAAAAAACACTGGATTTCTTGCGTTCCTATCTAGTTTTAGTCAGCAGCATTTTTGTCAAATGATTTTTATTACAAAAATACAAAATCTATCTTAATGCTCAAAAATGACCATCTAGCTTGAGTGGTCCAATATTTGGGAACCTCAGAATTCGCCAAATTTGGCCCACGGCATTATTTGTCATGCTAATCACGGAAGGATGCTCCTATGCTTTTAGGGCTCTTTTATTATGTTTCCTGTACGTGCACGATGGTAGGCTAAAACATTAAATGCTAGATAATGAGCCTAATTGACATTTTTAACGAGTATCATGTTATCTCCAACATCAGTATCACCTTGATAACGCCTCCCCCTCCCACCCCCCTCCTTTTCTGACCCTCACAAAACTCCCAGGTGTGGCGTGCCACACCCCATTTTATCCTGCTCTCGATTCTATCCGTCTATTTTTGTAAATGCCTAAATTAGACTGCAATAAGAGTTTGTTTACATTTAAATTTACTGATCCCAAAAGTTTTTGTCTGCCTTTATGTTCTAATACATAAAGATCTGCACATTTTGCAAACTGCAGAAAGAGCCTGGAAAACTCTTTCGAACGATAGGACGCATGTTTTGTGGAACAGCCAAAACAATCTAGATGATTTCAAAAAGTCTCTCCAACTTCTTTCAGCTCCCCCCCCCCCCTTTCAAGGTGGGAGAGCAAAAAACACTGGCATTAGACTAAGGGCACATACAGGAAATGCAATGCATGGTTACTGTTATTTGATGCACAAGTTTTCAGAAAGATGTACTCTATTGTTTCGAATATACAGAGTGTCCCAAAGAGATGTGCCTACTGTTCGATTGTTGGTAACCATCTTGTTATGAGTCTTTAGGGAAGCTTAAGCACCATTTTCTAGAGCTGGCTTCGACTTAGATTTACTGTGTGGAGCGGCGTACCACTGCTTTCCACTACTATTGGATTACGGTAAAATTTTGAAGAGAATCTTGAGCATTTTCATGCTGGGATAACTGATGTTGCTGATCCTAAATGCGAAATTTGCAACTTATCATAATGCTTCACTAAAAAGTTATGCGAGCTAAGCAGTAGCGGCCGCCTCTTCAGTTTTCGAAATAGCGCGGTTAAACCTTTGAGAAAGCTTCGCAATCTTGTACATGGTTGAATTGAGGGCAGCGTTCATGAACCCTATTACACAGGTTTTCACATTTTTTCGAGAGTTTCTGAAACGGCACCTTTTTACAGTGACACCATATGCTTGATGTTTACCGTAATTTTACAGTAATGAAGAGCAATCGGTGACTCGCCCCAGATTGTAAATCTAAGTTTACGCCATTTCTTCAAAAGTTTACCTGAAGCTTCTCGAAAGACTTGATTACAAGAGAGTTATAAACGATCAAACACTAGGCACATCTTTCTGGGACACCCTGTATATTGGTCTATAAAAACAACTCGGTAAAAATACAGGACTAGCACTTTCTTGCAGACAGATCTTTACATGTATCAAGGAAGTCCGATAACATAAGAACAATTTGACGAAAGTAATTAGCTAGGAAACGTTTTCCGGTTTCGCATATCATCACAATTCCTGTTTACAACCCTGTTTTATACAATTTCATTTGACTGTCCTAATAATGCGGCATCGCCTCTAAGAGACAATAAAAGATCAAGTGCTACTAATAATATGTGCTATTTTTTTATTCGCATCTTTTGCGAAGTTTAAAAATGAATTTTTGATATGCAAAGCTAACGATTGCATCACGGATTTGATATCACAAATTTAGTTTTTTGCTGAGTAGGTCATCATTCTGCTTCATGTTCACGAACTTAAAACTCAATTGATTCCTCATTATCAGTAACAAGTTTGTTTTCGTACTTGATTTGTAGCTGTTTCCCTCAGCATTTCTGATTTTTACTATTTCGTAAAGCATCATTAGTATCATACCAATTCATCATGACGATGGCCTAACAAATAAAATACTACAAAAAATTATGCGAAATGACTCTTTTTTTGCTTTGTTATACTTCTCAAGTGTTTGTTGGTGATATGATGACGTTGCTCGTTTCACATTCTCCGTAAGAAACCTAGGGAAACTGTTATCTACAACGCTGCTCTTTCACATGAGAGGTAACAAAAATGTATTTAGTCGGTGTTGTTCGTCTAGCAGCTTCAGATGCTTCTGTAGTAGCGGTGGATTCGTTCTACCGTAGCGTCCGCGATATTCGGATCCATAACCCTGAAATCCTGCGTCATAAAAGCAAAAGTACGGATATGCGTTTTTCACCCCTCCCAACTCACCTGAAAGCGTTAAGAAGTTTTTCGTGTAGCAATCGAGCCTCGTGAGAGCGCCTAATATTTGAAACCGGTATGTCTGAGGTTGGACCTGAACATGGTGATGATATATATGGCCAAATCAGTACTCCAGGCACTGGTGCACCGCATCGTTATCTAATGGTAACAAAAAACCTCAACGCAGTAGTGATAATGATTATATCTTTCACTAAGTTCAAGTTTTGGAACTTTCGTCATGATATCCGGTGACGGCTAGCATCAGCAACAGAAAAAATTCGGAAAAGGAGAAAAATGGTGCTAATACTATGGCATTCATGTGAGAAAAAAATTCATAAAATTGCCATTCTTTAGTTGCTATTGTTGATGCTTCAGTCCTCAACTTCTCTTCATCCAAAATGCCTCGATAAATAAAGGAACAAAGAAAAGTATTGTTGCAGAGGTAACAGAGCTCGTCATCAGCTTGAAGGCAGTGTCCCGGCAGATTCGCGCCTTGGGGAATATTGCTGTGGTGGGGTTCCTGGTCATACCACTGATCTCCAGGGCCCAGTCCGGCTGATTGATGTCCTCCATGGGCTGAGAAAACAGCCATTGAACTGGAGCGCGCAACCCCAAACGGCGCGCGCTCGGACGACTTTGTTAACCGTTCGACGCGGGACCCCACGACCGCTCTATCGCATTCTGCATGCTATCCAAAGCAAAAATTACAGGCAGCAGGATCTTGCCAGGGTCTCCCAACTTTCCATTGAAATTCTCGTCCAAGGTGATTTTTGGGAACTGAGTAAACTCCCCGAAAAAGACCTTTTCACCCGTTTTAAAACTCATATTCGAGATCTACGGGTCTACGGGTCGAAAAGGCTCAAAACATGCAAAAGGATGGCAAAATCTGCCTGGACACTGCCTTTGAAGGCAGTTATTTTTGCAGTTGCAAGTCCTTTCGTCCCTGTCTAACCCAATACGGGTCGAAAATCGCACCTTATATATAAAGCTGAATGTCTATTTGTCTGTTTGTCTGTTTGCCTGTCTGTCTGTTTGTATGTATGTATGTACGTATGTTCGAATAGAAAATTCCATTTCTGAACCGATCGGGACCAAACTTGGCACACATACACTTCGGGGCAGGGCGGGTGTCATAGGTTACTTTTCGTTATCGATCGATATCGATTTTATTGATTTTTTGAATAACTGGAGCTACAGGGCTGGGAGTTGACAGGGAGGTAATCGAGCATGCTGATTATACAAATATATTATTGACAGGCCCGGGCAGAGCCGGGTTTGCCAACTAGTAAACTATAAAACCCGTGGGAGCAACGCAGACGAGTTATGCCTTCTCAGCCTAGCCTTCGCCGCAGTGGCAGCAGCACCATGGAGTTGGACGCCAAGTGAAGGGATATGTTGAAACGTGTAAGGGGGAAACCGGTAGCGTCGGCCATGCGGCCAAAATTGGACTTTGCGGGCTACACTGAGGGCGAAATTCTCGGCATAGAAGGGCCCAGATCGAGTCAGACTTGGAGCGGTCGCCTATTCAGTTGGTCCTCGTATAACATATTAACTTATTCCCTAAGTAGGCACCGCCTCAAGTCTGACTCAACATGTTACATGAATGCTCTCCAAGATTTCTTGATTGTTTCATTGATTATGCAAAAGTTCGTTATTTTTGAAGTGAAAAAAGATGTAGCTTGAGAAAGGGTGATTTTCTGGGCAATAAAACCCAAAACTCAAAACTCAATCATTTTTCGGTATTTTATTGCCAAAGATAGAAAAAAACTGAGGTAAGCTGCACGGTATAGATAGAGCTCAAAAAGCAAAGGCACTTACGAAAATAACTAGAGGTTTCTCAAGAAAGAGGAAAGATTAGACTTTCCAATTTTGATAGGTGTTAGAATATGTTATTCTCTCTTTCAGATAATACCTAAATATGGTCATTTACATAATTAGTAATTTTTATACTCGCTGAAATGCAAAGTTAGTTAATTAGACAAATCATGAACTTCGAACAGTTTCTGCGCAGTGAAATATGTGATACCACCCAAACTATCATTGCTGGAATGGGTGGTGGTATAGCCACCAAACCCACGACGGCTTGGTGGCCCCAACTTTCAAAGTCAGCAGATACGGCCATTAGCAGCATTGAGAACAAAGATACGTGCTATTCAATTCTTTGTGGGTGAACGCATGTTTTCTAGGTACCATCTGATAGAGCTTTATGCGCTCTTTCCATCCATGTGCAGCTTGCCTCAGATTTTAACTATCTTCGGAAAATATAGGGCCAAACATGATTTTTTGGATTTTTATTGCGCCAAAAATATTAGGTGGTCCGAAAGTTCTGTCGTTTCATTTTCAAAATTGTATCTTCGCTAAATTTGAACGCATTTGCTTGTTTTTAATTTTGTTAGAAGGAATAATTCTTTCGCTTTAACGTTTGGAGCTTCTGTTTCACACTGGGTGCGGAGATAAAAATGGAAAACTAAGACCATATAAGCTTTGATTATTTTAAGTTAGGTCACCAAAAATCTGGAATACTGCAGAAAAATTTGAAGTCGTCAGTACATATGTATTTTGGCCTTCCCTTCGCAACTGTGAAGAATTTGTGCTGTTTGGAGGTCTCTGTGAGAAATTATGAATATCGAGTTTACATGGAAAACGCCAGAATTGATTAATTTGTCAATTCTCTATGAAAAGTTATGATTTTCGAGCAAGCAATACAAAAGGGCAAATTGATTCATTCTGGCATTTTTCAGGATAATAACTTTTTTATAGAGACGCTCAATCAACGCAGATTTTTCACAGTTAGAAAGAGCAGATGATAGAACCTATAATACTGACAGCTCAGATTTTTGCAAATAGAAACAACAAAACAAGATAAGGATTAAAAAATGTTACAAAGTTGCAGATTTTTAATGACCCTACACAGAAAATTCAAAATTTGAGGAATTTTTTTCTACCGCTTCTACCTAAGCAATGTATGCTTGACGGAAAGCCGCTAGGTAATTTTATAAAGAGAATGAGTTGCTCTTTCATATAAAAATGAGAACACTCAAATCGGTTCAAAGAACCAAAAGTTATGAATTTTTGAAAGTGGTGCGTCAGAAAACTTTCGGGCCAACTTAATAGAGGAATACTCTTTATCATGGCTCTGCTTATGTAGAAATGAAATTCTGCGTAAAAAGTTCTCATAATTTCTACTCAACCTAGTGTAGGAAGGACCAGGGCCCGGCAGAAGGTGGCATTTCAGAATTTTGAAAACGATATCCCCTTTGAAGCCAAAATTTCTTACGACTTCCCCTTTGCTTTTTCGGGCCAAAAACGATATCCAGGTTGTGAAAGCGCCACCCCTGCCGGGCCCTGGGAAGGACTGGAGCAGATAGGGACTTAACAGAAAGTGAATGCGAGCTTGCGTTCTGCTCTCGTTAGTATAAAGCAATTGCTAAACCTTCTGCCCAAGATTACAGTAAAAATCATTCCAAAAATTACACGCTCTGCTAGCAGAACATATTTTCAGCTGGGTTTAGAAGAGTCAATAAGGTGGCATTCATACGTCGATTTCAACATCACTTTTCTTTCAATACAAAATTAACCAGTGATAATTAGATACATGCACAGATTCAAATTTCTCGAGAGTTTTCAAATATTTTCGGGGCTACCGCGCTACAAACAGGAATTTATCAGGAATGTAGAACATCATCAAAACATTGGCTCGGTATTAAACAAACAATGATCCCTTTCTTTGCTGATTCACTTACGTGAACTCACTCCACAACTGCTCTACCATCGATAATGCGTCTGTTAGGATCCGTAAGTTTTTTTCAAAATAAATTTTGCTTACCCTCTAGTACCCATTGACAGCTCGGAATAGCAAGACAGAAGATAAGCAACAGAACTGGTGTGTAGCGAAGCATAAGCGATCCTATAACAAATAAAATATTAGTGAAGAAACGACGAAGCAGTTCAGTGATGGAAAATGACGGAATTAGATGTACTACGAAGGATAGTTCCTGGTTCATTATGCAGTGAGACCGAATAATTAGGATAGAATTAGATCTAGACAAGTGAGTGGCGACAAAATATGTACTCATGCTGTCAGTTTCTTGATTCGGCTGAGCTATAAGAACTTTTCTTATCATTTCTCTTAGAATCGTGAGAAAATCAGGGTTTCGCAAAATCTGTGAAAGGGATTAAAAAAACTTCTTTGATTTCCTAAAATATGAAACTTTGTGGCTCCAAAACATATCAGGTTGTTTGGGAAATAATGTCGTGCATTCTACCGCGACAGATTGATGAAAAACTGTAAACGAAGCCCATTTATAAAGCAAAGCAAGCTTGTAAGATGGAATACAGATCTCCGCGAAAACTTTGTTCCACCTGAAGTTCGATAGAAATATAAAAAATTTCAGGTACCCGAAACATCGTATCTTTGTCCATAAATGTTGTAGGGGTATCCACTTTGCATAGGCATGTACAGTCGAGTAGATTTAGCGGTAAATATAGTGTGCTTGCACAAAAGGCGAAATGCGGTGAAATTGGCGCGTGAAGAAATAGTTTCGACTGTGACGCCGGCCAATTGCGCGCGCAAGATGCCCGCGGTACTGACGTGGCTACTTGTTCACGCGCAAATTTCACCGCATTTCACCTTCTGTGCAAGCACACTATATTTACCGCTAAATCTACTTGACTGTACTCTTTACATCGGGCATATGTGTACAGGCTGTGAATTTTCCCATGAATAGAGCACAAGAAATAAAATAGATCAAGAGTGCGAAAAATGTCGCGTTTTCGCAAAAAATTTGGTTTTCTTGAAAACTAGATCTTGTAAAAAGCTGGAATTCAATGTTCATTCTTCCAAAGGTTCATTATTCTACAGCATCATCTTATCTGGGACAAGCTCAGGGTTGCTATGGTAAAAATATGCGAAATTTTCGTTTTCTCGATTTCCAGCTACGGGAATATCACGAAACTGTGCATATTGCTGTCTGATGTAAACAGAGGATGCCTAAAGCAAGTTGGAGATTTAGATATATCCGGAAAGAGACGCGATTTGATGAACATTCTCACGTCTTTAACGCCTTAAAAATGGCTACAAACTTTACGCAAATCAAACCTGGCGCGAATGTTCAAGCTTCACTTTGTAGAGCTTGGCTTGGTCTATTCGCTTACTACCCCAATCAATTTTTTTGAGTTCACCCTGCCGCGAAATTGCTTGATAAAACACGATGCGACATTATTTTCTTGATAATCTAACGGATTGTGGAGCTAATTCTCGAAAAATAATATGGGCTAATTTGGCTTCCAAAATTACAAAATCATCTTATACCTAGCCTTTATAGCAGTGTCTAGCATTATGACAGCGCATTCTGCACTTTATGAACTTCAAGAAGAAGAGTCGTGGGAAAAGTCTTCAGATCATTTAAATAAGAGTTAGCACCCCCTTTTTCCAAAGTTACGACCATGGAGAACATGTTTTTATAGATAACTAGACTCCTTTTTTGTGATTGAATGCGAACTTGTAACCCATTTTCACATGATCTATCTATCTTGGACGACATGCTGATATCTGACAATATGGTCTCACTCCGAAGGTTGTCAATCAGCTGTTTATTGAGCCTACGAAAACACAAATGCAGTGAATGATTGACCATTCATTCACTCTTATTCTTTGTTTTTTAGTTGCCACCTATCTATCGGACAAGGGAAGGACACTCGGTGGAAGTGGAGTGCCCACACGTGGTGCGTATCGTTGTGCTGGTCATGGGGCACTAATACCAAATCCGTGTTCCTTAGCTGCTCAGTGATCTTCTGAGAAAAGTTACGATGATGATTTCCCCAGGATGACCAGATCGCATAAGTTAGCGGCGCCGAGAAATGTCAGTTGGAGGAATGGCGAGTGTATAGTGCGGAGACTATAGAGGAAGTGGTAAAACGTTCGGAATACTTATGTTCCAAACATTCTTCCATTTTGTAGATTGTATTGCTTGATATGTATACCTTAGAGGGCCTCAAGGCAGAGAAACACCCGTCACCCGTTGGATAATTTGCAAAAATGCAAGAATGTTTGGAACATAAGTTTCCGAACGTTTTGCCACTTCCTCTATAGTCTCCGCAGCTATCCACTCGGCCATTTCCTCCAACGGACATTTCTCGGCGCCGCTCTTAAGCGATCCGTCGATCCTGAGGAAACCATCACTCCTTTTCCCAGAATCACTGAGCAGCTAAGGAACACGGATTTGGTATTAGTAACCCAAGACAAGCACAACGATATGCATCACGTGTGGGAACCCCACTTCAACCGAGGGTCCTTCCCTTGTGAGTAGGATTATGCAAGAATATGCATGAATATCAATGGGTTTGTTCCATCTTATTTACTCAGCTAAACTCAAGCATTTTGAGATTTGTGAAATGTGCTATCTATTCTCAAAAGCTTTTCGAAATTATCTCAAGAGAGCTGAAGCTTTTCATGAAGGGTACCTAATTGAATTTTTCTTATCCTGAAGTTCTTCACATTCAGAATATCAAGGAATAAGCAAGTTGAATTTTGATTAACTATAGGTGCTTCATTACTTTCTACAGTTTTTTCAGCTTTTCATGAGGGTATCTAATTGAATTTTCCTCTTATCCTGAAGTTCTTCACATTCAGAATACTGCTAAAACTGCAGATAATTACACAACTGTAAAACTATGCAATTAGGCTGGTTTTGCTTTGAATCACCTAACCAATTTTTTGGGAATGGTTTGGAAACAGTCAAGCCCTTTGAGATTTTTTTGAGAAAACACAATAAGCCCACACCATGCACAATAGATACCGTGAGCAGAATTTTGCACAGTTTATGAAAGGTATTCTACACGTAGCATTTGATGCTTCTTCTGTTGTAACTAAGACTTTGTTTCAGAATTTTGATTCCAGTTTAAAAACTGGAAACTATTATAATCAACATTCGTATACAGGAAATTCATTCTACAATGAAAATTTCCCAATGATAAGTATAGTATGTGAATACAGCTCAAATTTTTGCCATCCTACTTCAAGAAAGCTTACATTATGCTAGGTCAAAGCGTAGAAGGAGATCTAAGAGACGATTTGTACAAAGGCTCAAACTAGAAGTGTGCTAGCACTTCTCATGTTTAGTTTCTCATTTTCCATGCAATTAAATCTGTCAAATCAGCGCTGCAATTTTCTCGTGAGTCTAACATCAGATTCAGCTATCTCTTTCGCATCTTCTCTCAGATTTCTCGAAAAAAAAAAGAACTTCAACGAAAAAAGCTTAGTGTATGATTCACTGAAGAGAAAGCTTGCAAAAATAGATCAAGGTTGCAGATGTACTATAATCATTTATACTGGTAGATCACGAAGGAAAACTGTTCAAAAATCAAGTTTTTCCGAAAAACTTGAGTAATCGAAAAGCTTCGGTCGCCATTGTCACCATTCACATAACACTTACAAAAGCACCATTCGTATTTAGCAGTGGCGGTCCCAGGTCCGATCGGGAAAGAAGGAGGAGGGGAAGGACAAAAATTTTTTGGATAGAGATGCGTGGCATGGCCACGCACTCCGAAAAAAATTCGGGATACTTCCCAAAATTTTGCGGACCTTAATCCCTAAATTTTTTCGGAGCAATCAAGAAAAGAATTTTTTACAGGACTAGTTTTGATAATTTTGAAACAATTCTCAAAATATACCCTGCTCTATAAATATAAACGAGTCACTGCATTTTTGTAGCTCATGTGGACACTTCCAAAAAGTTCTCCACTTTTCCTCGTTCATTACCTCCAACATATTTCTATTGAAATGAAATTGCAATGGGAGCAAATTTCACAAAAGATTCTATATTATTTCGCACTCTTCCCCACCCTACCCCTCTCTGCCTTCAACTTTGTCCACATGCAACAGGCAGTATTCATGGTTGAACTTTTCCGTAAGAAGCTCTAGGCTCTTATATTGAACTTTTTTTCCAGAATAGATTACTGGAAGGTCAGAGGGCGTAAGGCTAAAGTGGGATGGTATTGATCTTTGAAGAGAGGATTCGGCGCACTCCACAAATATGATCTCTATTCCCACTCAACGCAAGCACCTCAACCCCGACTAGCGCTTTTTTTCATTTTTTTCACTCTTGGTTAGCACCACCGCTATTTTTTACATTTCATAGACTACATCATCATATAACTTGAGGGCTTCATGCTTATGCAAAGTAGCTTACCGTACCTTCTTCCCGAATGTTATTTCATCAGATTATCGTAGACTGAGATCTACATACGAAATCAAATTCAAGCTCTAGTCAAGTAGTATGGAGTAATCATTGCCAGCCTTTCGTATGATCTTTTGATCTTTGGCATAATGATGTTACGAAGACCAAAAATTACAGAATAGAGACATCCTCGCGGCAGCAAAATAATTAGTTCTTTTAATGGGGCTGTTTTCATAAATTTGAGCAGACTCATGTCCCTGAGGAGTCTGCACCCACCTATGGGTAGGGAAAAACATTTTCTAGCAAGATTAGATGGGACCATTAAGTTATATTGTTAGTGAATTATGTGTATAGCAGATTTCACTCGTAAACTTTTGAAATGCAATTTCACCAGAAAATGAGAACTCCATTTTCTGGTGAGATTCAAAGCTGTGAGAAATCTGCCGAGAGAATTTTGCATCCTTGGGGTTACTGATCGATATATATTTCAGTCTTGAGCTCTGCCAAAATTCAAAAAAAAATCTTTTTAGTCAGTACGGCAAACTCCTTAAAAGATATTCTAGGATTCTTTCCAACACACGACGTTAATGTATTTTTCATAAGATTTCGCTATGTAGAGCTGTTTTTACGAGAATGAGAGCAACACTCAACGAGACTCATGCACAAATCAATCATACATTGATGTAAAGTTATAATACAAAACTGGCGTAGATCCAAACAAAAAATTTATTTT